AACGAATTGGGCATACAACTAAAAAAAAAACTGGAAAAAGAACAAATTAAAAATCCTCAATTAAACACCAAATTAGAAATATTGAAAACCAAAGGAGAAATTAAGAAAATTGAAATTAAGAAAACTATTGAACTAATAAATAAAACTAAGTGCTGGTTTTATGAAAAAAACAATAAAATAGATAAACATTTGGTTAATTTAATTAAAAAAAGAAAGAAGAAAACCAAATTACCTGTATCAAAAATGAAAAGGGTGAATTCACCACCAAGGAAGAGGAAATTAAAACAATAATTAGGAACTATTTTGCCCAACTGTATGCCAATAAATTTGACAATCTTAGTGAAATGGATAAGTATTTACAAAAACATAAATTGCCCAGATTAACAGAAGAGGAAATAAAATACTTAAATAACCCCATCTCAGAAAAATAAATTGAACAAACCATTGATGAACTCCCATAGGGAAAAAATCTCCAGAGCCAGATGGATTTACAAGTGAATTCAATCAAATATTTAAAGAACAATTAATTCCAATACTATATAGACTATTTGGGAAAATAGGTGAAGAAGGAGTCTTACCAAATTCTTTTTATGATACAAATATGGTGCTGATATCTAAACCGGGAAAAGTCAAAACAGATAAATAAAATTACAGACCAATTTCCCTAATGAATGTAGATGCAAAAATTTTAAATAAAATATTAGCAAATAGAATATAGAAACTTATCACAAGAATACTACACTATGACCAGGTAGGATTTATACCAGGAATGCAGGACTGGTTCAATATTAGGAAAACTATCAGCATAATTGATCATATCAACATCAAAACTAACAGAAACCACATGATCATCTCAATAGATGCAGAAAAAGCTTTTGACAAAATACAACACCCTTTCCTATTAAAAACACTAGAGAGCACAGGAATAAATGGAGTCTTCCTTAAAATAATAAATAGCATCTATCTAAAACCTTCAGCAAGCATCATATGTAATGGCGACAAGCTAGTAGCATTTCCAGTAAGATCAAGGGTGGAACAAGGATGTCCATTATCACCACTGTTGTTCAATATTGTTCTGGAAACATTAGCTTTAGCAATAAGAGAAGAAAAACTGAAGGTATTAGAATTGGCAAAGGAGAAACAAAACTATCACTCTTTGCAGATGATATGATGATATACTTAGACAATCCTAGAGAATCAAGTAAAACATTACTTGAAATAATAAACAACCTTAGTAAAGTTGCCGGCTATAAAATAAACCCACATAAATCATCAGCATTTCTATATATTACCAACAAAGCCCAACAGCAAGAGACAGAAAGGCAAATTTCATTTAAACTTACTGTAGAATTATAAAATATTTAGGAGTCTACCTCCCTAAACAAACCCAGGAACTATATCAGCACAATTACAAAACACTTCTCAAACAAATAAAGTCAGATCTAAATAATAGGAAAAAAATCAGTTGCTCATGGGTAGGCCAAGCTAATACAATAAAAATGACAATTCTACCTAAGCTAATTTACTTATTCAGTGCCATGCCAATCAAACTACCAAAAAAATATTTTATAGAGTTAGAAAAAATAACAAGATTCATTTGGAATAACAAAAGGTCCAGAATATCAAGTGAACTAATGAAAAGAAATGAAGGGGAAGGTGGCCTAGCTATTCCAGACCTTAAATTGTATTATAAAGCAGCAATCATAAAAACTGCTTGGTACTGGCTAAGAAATAGAATGGTGGATCAGTTGAATAGGTTAAGTATGCAAGACAGAGTAGTCAAAGACTATAGTAATCTACTATTTGATATACCCAAAGACCCCAGCTTCTGGGATAAGAACTCACTCTTTGACAAAAACTGCTGGGAAAACTTGAAAAGAGTATGGCGGAAACTAGACATAGGTCAAAATCTCACACCATATACCAAAATCAAGTCAAAATGGGCTCATGATTTAGATATAAAGGCTGATATTGTAAGCAAACTGGGAGAGCAAGGAATAGTTTACGTATCAGACTTATGGAGAATAGAAGAATTCATGACCAAACGGGAGATAGAGAATATTACAAAAAGCAAAATGGATAACTTTGTTTACATTAAATTGAAAAATTTTTGCACAAACAAAACCAATACAACCAAGATTAGAAGGAAGGTAGAAAATTGGGAAAGAATTTTTACAACCAGTGTCTCTGATAAGGGCCTCATTTCTAAAATATACAGAGAATTAAGTCAAATTTATAAGAATGCAAATCATTCCACAATTGATAAATGGTCAAAGGATATGAACAGGCAGTTCTCAGATGAAGAAAGTAAAGCCATCTATAGTCATATGAAAAAATGCTCTAAATCACTATTGATTAGAGAAATGTAAATCAAAATAACTCTGAGGTACCACATCACACCTATCAGATTGGCCAAGATGACAAAACAGGAAAATGATAAATGTTGGAGAAGACGTGGGGAAAATGGGAACACTATTGTATTGTTGGTAGAGTTGTGAAATGATCCAACCATTTTGGAGAACAATTTGGAACTGTGCCCAAAGGGCCATAAAAATGTGCATATGCTTTGATCTAGCAATAGCACTTCTAGGGCTATGTCCCAAAGAGATCATACAAATGGGAAAAGGACTCACATGTACAAAAATATTTATAGTAGCTCTTTTTGTGGTGCAAAGAATTTGAAATTGTAAGGATGCCCATCAACTGGGGAATAGCTGAACAAGTTGTGGTGTATGAATGTAATGGTACTATTACTATTACTATTATACTATTGTGCTATAACAAATGATGAGCAGGCAAACTTCAGAAAAACCTGAAAAGACTTGTATGTTCTAATACTGAGTGAAGTGAACAGAACCAGGAGAATGTTGTACACAGTAGTAGTCACGTTGTGTGATGACTAATAATGATAGACTTAACCCTTCTCAGCAATACAAGGATCTAAGACATCTCTAAAGGCCTCATGATGGAAAATGGTATCCACATACAAAGAAAGAACTATGGAGTTTGAATGCAGATTGAAGCATACTATTTGCTAATTTTTTCTTCTGTTGTGTTTTGTTTCCTCTTTCTGGTGGTTCCTCCTATTGGTTCTAATTCTTACTTACAACGTCACTAATGTGAAAATATGTTTAATAAGAATGTATATGTATAGCCTATACCCTGGGGAGGGAGGTGGAGAGAGAGAGGGAGAAAAATTTGAAGCTCAGAAGCTTATGGAAATGATTACTGATAATTCAAAATTAATTAATTTTAAAATAAATTTTGAAAAGGCTGCTATAGTGAGTAGGTTATTTAATCAATTAGAGAAGTATAAAAATAATGCTTTGCTACAAGGAAGGCCAAGTGAAGATTATGTAACATTAATTTGTAGTGTAATCCAGTGAGCAAAGTTTCATTATTTTTCCATCTTCATTCAGTAGTACATGAGTAAGAGCAAAGGCTGGATAGCAGGAGTAAGGTAAGGCTACTGGTTGGCAAAACTAGATTAACTAAAGTATGGGGCAACAAAAGATTTAAGAGATGAGAACAGTGCAGATTTGAACTGATTGACCAGAGGGTTAAGAGGGTGAAAGGAAAAGAATGTAGCCTGGGCAAGGGTTACAGCCTGGGAAAGAACCAAAAGGTCAAAGTATTAGAGGCAATGATGTTGAAAGGCAGCTGGAGAGGTGGATTGAAAACAAACTGTGATCAGATAAAGGAATTGAAGGGTTCACAACCGTGAGAGTGGTGTATTTATAGGTGATGGCATAATCAAGAGCAAGTTGTATGGAGCTGAGGTAAGGTGGAAGAGTAAATGATGACAATTATCCTTTTGGTGCCAGCCAGTTCTTTGCTGAACATTTATTTAATTTTGAGTCCTAATGGGTTCTATGCCCTTCAACCAGAATGTGAAAACCATTGCATGACTCCACATTCAGAAGCCACCCCTTTTTGTGCTGTCCTCAGTTGGGGGCCAGTTATGATTGGAGCCGGGCACCTAAATTGTTCCCTATTAGCATTTTTATCCTCGTCCCCTTATGAGTAGCAATAAAATTGTATTAACTCCTATCTTTGGGTGACTCTGCTGCTCTTCATCCATATTACTTCATCACATTTATTGCTAGAGCTAGCAATTCTTGTTTGTTTCATTTTGTTGTTTTTTTTTTTTTTGTTCGTTTGTCTTTCATTCTTGAAGAGGGCTATGACATCAGGAAGGTGATGCCATGATTTGCAATTGAATTGGATTAAAATGAATGAGGGCAGTGCAAAGTCACCAGCCTCACTCTCCCCCAGAGCCATCTGGGTCCAGTGGCAAGATATAGATCAGGCTGACTGGAGATGGCCCCAGATGTAGTGGGAGACTTTGGCCTTTTTAAGATAAGGTCTTTCCCAGGTCTCAGTATGACTGAGGCAATGACCGTTCAGTGATTAAGGGTAGGTAAGGAATGAGGTGAAGAATGGCCTCTTTAATCTAGTGAAAAAAAAATCAATCTGGGAAGAGAAAACCTTCAAGGTTTCTGGGCAAAACAAAAACAATTGCTGTTTACACTCTCTCTGAGACATCAGGGCCCAAACAATGACCAGATGAGGCTTGGGCTGGATCCCAGCATTCTAGCACTGTTAAGTAGTAATCATTATAATGTGTATCCTTACTTTACCTCTAAACTTATTCCTAAAGACTTTAACTTTTTTCCATCATATAAAATGTTTGCTTGTGAACTTATTACTGCTTATTATATTAAGTAAAAGTCCAATTATTACTATGATTTTTATAGTTTTAGATGAGTATTAGATTTTGGTTTTGGCACTAGTCACCTATAGCATGAACTCACAAAGCAGATATTTCTCCCATAAAAATGGAAAATCTGTTATCCAGGATTCTACTCATAAAAGATAAGAATATGACTCTACCACGGATACCTTGTAGCCTTCCTGACTCATATTTGACATTCTTAGCAACAGCCCTTCCTGTTCCTGTTCCCCCAAATCCCTTCGTCTATAACCAGACTAAGACTTACGTCAGCTTCTGCAGGTTGCAATTTGGATGTTTCAAAGCCTCACACAATAGATTCACTTCATAATCTCCCAGTGTGTTTCCAGCAATATTCAAATGGGTCAAGTTGTGGTTACTTTTGAGTACATCAAAGAGATGGAGAAAGCCTTCTACAGTGAAATAGGATCTCCATATCCTACCAGAGAGAAAGGAAAGCAGGAAATAGAACTATCAGAAGGAATTCACACCCACAACCTTTCCATGTAATGCAAGTCTTATGGACCCACCCTTTAACCCCCACCATAACTCAGACCATAGCACATTTCTTCTCATAGGACGCTTATGTCTTTTCTCATGTTGAGTAAATAAATACTTGGAGCTAAGTAATCAGAAAGGGAATATCAGGGAATCATAGGACCTATGAGATGGATGGGGGAGGTGCTTATTGATTAAGAAAAATAAAAAAAAAAACAGCCTTAATTCCTAGAGCAGCTGTGAAGGACTGAGGCAAGGAAAAGTGTCTGCTAACCATGTTACTAACTCTGCTAGCATCTCTATCACAGTTTAGATCATATCCTAATGAATGTAAATGGGTTAAAATACCATCCCCTGTCTTTTCCACAAACATTCCAGTATTACTACCCCATATTATGCTGCTCTTTAGGGCTCCCCTCTTCTCTAATTTCAAATAGGAAGGGTTTTGAAGAAATTGGTGGTGATTTACTTTATTTCCTGCAATCTGCAGCTTGGATCCCTGAAGGCCTCACATAGAAGTTTTACTCCATCATTACCCAAGGTGTTACCCCCCAGGTTCAGATGAGTTAAATTTTGGTTGCTCTTCAGAGCCATGGAGAGATCCCAACAGCAAGCTTCAGAAAAATAGCAACATTGCAACCTGTGAGAGAAAAACATGGTTTGGTAAGCATATAAAGCACACTCCTCTTTTCTCTCACCTTGGAAAGGAGCCCATCCACATAGCCTTCTATCTAGCATGAAATTAAAAGCCCTATTATTTCCCCTATTTCTATAAAGGCACGCAGCTGAGAAAAAAAAAAAAAAAGACATCACCCAAGTGTCTTGGTCCAGTGTCTTCCACTTTTTTGCCATTATCAAATTATAAAATCTGACGCTAGCCATCTTTTTTTTTCCTCCTACTGGAACTCAAACTGTGCTTCTAGGATCCTAGACTCTGGAAAGTGAGCTTCCACTTTATCTTTTTAAAAATTATTTTAAAATTGAATAATATTTCATTTTCCCCAATTATATGTAAAAATAATTTTAACATCAGTATTTTTTTTAAATTTTGAGTTCCAAATTCTCTCCCTTTCTCTTTCCCCTCTCCCCTCCCTGAGGTGGTAAGCAATTTCATATAGGTTATACACGTGCAATCATAAAAAAACAACATATTTCTATATTAGTCATGTTGTGGAAAGAAAAGATCCCTTCTCCGCCCCCCCCCCAAAAAACCCAAGAAAATAATAAAGTGAAAATAGTATGGTTTGTTCTGCATTCAGACTCCATCAGTTTTTTTTTTTTTTCTGGATGAGGATAACATTTTTCATCATGAGTTCTTTGGAATTGTCTTGTATATTATTGTATTGCAGAGAATAGCTGTCATTCACAGTTGATCATCATAAAATATTACTGCTACAGTGTACATTATCTTCCTACTTCTGCTCACTTCACTTTTATCAGTTCATGTAAGTCTTTCCAGGCTTTTTTGAAATTATCCATCTCGTCATTAGCAAAATAGTATTCCATCATAATCATATACCACAGATTGTTCAGTCATTCCCCAATTGATGGGCATCCCCTCGATTTCCAGTTCCTTGTCACCCCAAAAAGAGCTGCTATAACTATTTTTGTACAAATAGGCCCTTTTCTTCTTTTTTTGATGTCTTTGGGATATAGATCTAGTAGTGGTATTGCTAGATCAAAGGTTATGCACACTTTATATCCCTCTGGGCATAGTTCCAAATTGTTCTCCAGAAATATTGGATCAGTACTCAACTCCACCAATAGTGCATCAGTGGCCCAATTTTCCCACACTCCCTCCAATATTTATCTTTTTCTTTTTCTGTCATATTAGTCAATCTGATAGGTATAAGATGGTAGCTCAGAGTTGTTTTACTTTGCATTTTTCTGATCAATAATGATTTTGAGCATTTTTCATGACTATAAACAGCATTGATTTCTTATAAATTTGACTTAGTTCTTTACATACTTGAGAAATGAGGCCTTTATCAGAGATACTTGCCGTAAAAATTTTCCCAACTTTCTGTTTTCCTTATAATTTTTGTTGCAATGGTTTTGTTTGTGCAAAAACTTTTAAATTTAATATAATCAAAATTATCCATTTTGTATTTTGTAGTACTCTCTGTTTCTTGTTTGGTCATAAGTTTTGCCCTTATCCATAGATCTGACAGATAAACTATTACATGGCCCCCTACTTTGCTTATGACATCACCACTTATGTCTAATCATATACATTTTGACCTCATTTTGGTATGCATTGTAAGACGTTGGTCTACAACTAGTTTTTGCCATATAATTTTCTAATTTTCCTAACATTTTTGTCAAATAGAGAGTTCTTACCCAAAAGCTTAAGTCTTTGAGTTTATTAAACACTAGATTACTATGGTAATTTACTTCTGTGTATTGTGTATGTATTCCCTGATGTATTCCATTGATCTATTTCTTAGCCAGTATAGCTTGTTTTGATAATTACAGATTTTTAATACAGCTTGAGATCTGATAGGGCTAGACCACCTCCCTTCACATTTTTTTTTAATTCCCTTAATACTCTTGACCATTTGTTCTTCCAAATGAATTTTTTTTTCTATATCAATAAAATAAATTTTTGGTAGTTTGATTGGTATGGCACCGAATAAGTAAATTAATAATTTAGGTAGAATTGTCATTTTTATTATATTGGCTTGGCCTACCCATGAGCAATTGATATTTTTCCAGCTGTATAGATCTGACTTTATTTTGTGAAAAATGTTTTGTAATTGTGTTCGTATAGTTCCTGGGTTTGTCTTGGCAGGTAGACTCCCAAATATTTAATACTGTCAACAGTTATTTTAAGTGGAATTTCTCTTTCTATCTCTTTCTGTTTGGCTTTGTTGGCAATATTAAAAAATGCTAATGATTTCTGTGGGTTTGTTTTATATCCTGCAACTTCACTAAAGTTAATTATTTCAAATAGATTTTTTAGTTGATTCTCTAGGATTCTCTGAGCGTACCATCTTATCATCTGCTAAGAGTGATAATTTTGTTTCCTCATTGTCTATTCTAATTCCCTCAATTTCTTTTTCTTCTCTTATTGCTATAACTAACATTTCTAGCAGAATATTGAATAATAGAGGTGAGAATGAGCATCCTTGCTTCACCCCTGATTTTATTGGGATGGCTTCTAGATTATCCCCATTGCAGATAATGTTTGCTGATGGTTTTAGACAGATACTACTTATCATTTTAAGGAAATCTCCATTTATTCATATGTTCTCTAGTGTTTTGAAAAGGAATGAGTGTTGTATTTTGTTAAAGGCTTTTTCTGCGTCTGTTGAGATAATCATATGATTTCTATTGATTTTGTTATTGATGTGGTTAATTGTGCTGATAGTTTTTCTAATATTGAACCAGACTTGTATTCTTGGTATAAATCCCATCTGTTAATAGGGTATGATCTTTGTGATACACACACACACACACACACACACACATGCATACATATATATATATATACATATATATAATGTATGTACATATATTATGCTTGCTAGCATTTTATTTAAAAATTTTTGTACCAATATTCATTAGCAAAATTGGTGATTTCATTTTATTTTGCCCAGAATCAGGACACAATACCACTTCTGAGTCACTCCTAAACCATGCCACCCTGTGGGACTCCTTCCCCTCTTCCCAAACCTAGATCTTCTTTATACTGTTGTCTTCCTCTATTAGCAATTAAAATCCTTGAGGGTAGGGACTGTCTAGCTTGATTGTATTTGTATTCCCTGTACTTAGCACGGATGCTAACATATAACAGCTGCTAAATGAATGCTTTTTGATCAATTGGTTGATTCATTCATTCACCAGCTTCCATGGTATACAACAATCAGAAGGTAATAAGAAATCATCTAGTTTGATTTATTCATTTTACAAGGAAGAAACCAAGATTCATAAAAGCTAAGAGAATTATTTGAGGACTCACAGTAAATGGTAAAGCTGGGATCCAAACCGGGTTATGTAATCTATGCTTAGAATCTGAGAGTTAATAAATTACGTAGTTGGAATAGCACTGGGATATTCTAGAAAAGGCTCTAGATTTGTCATCAGAAGATCTGGGTTCTAATCCAGCCAGTATTTGTCTCCACCTACGTGAACTTGGGTAAGCAAGTCATTTTTCCTCTCATAACCTTGTTTTCTTAAGATTTTAAAATAATCACATGGCTTCCAGGATCCCTTCCAATTCTGAATATATGATTCAATGAACAGGATTCCTTTTACACCAGACAGATGACCCCTATCCTCTCTTTGAAAAGTTACTAATGAAAAATTCATTACCTAGCAAGGGAACTCAATCCACTTTTGGACAATTCTAATTGTTAGCAAGCTTCTCCTAAACTAGCCTTTGAAACTTCCAATCATTTATCCTTGATCTTTCTTAAGAAGATAAAAAGAATAAGTCTAATCCAACAAATTTTTAAGGCATGCATCATGTCACAGAGTCAATGAATGATTAATTAATCAGAAATTCTGATTTGGAAGTTACTTAATAGATCAACTAATCCAATCCACACTGCAACAGGAATACCTTCTGCAGAAATTTTAAAAAGTGGTAAAAGCAGATTACTTCTTCTTTGAAGACCACCAGTGATGTGAAATCCATTGTATCCTGATTAAGTGAAATTCACTTTTGCATGGTTCAGATAGTTAGCAAGTTGTTTCCTACAAACAAGCCCAAACTGAAACATTCTGAAACAGTCTCTGAAACATTCACTCTAGGTCCAAGTAGGAAAAAAACAAACAAACAAACAAACAAAAACCAAAAAACTAATATCTTTTTTTTATAACAGTCATTCCAATACTTGAAGATAGCTTTCATATGTTCCACAAATTCTCTCTTTGTTGAGTTAAACCTTCCCAATTTCTTTGACCTATCTTCATACTGTATGAGTTGTAGTTATCTTGGCATGCCTATTACCCTTCCCTGGATGGGCTCTAGCCTGTCAATGTCTTTCCTAAAATGTAACATCAAGAACTCAACACAGTACTCCAGATGTGGTCTTGTCAAAGTCTTGTGTAACAGGACTTTTGTCTCCCTCATTCTAGACCCTCATGTCTCTAAAAATGCATTCTGAGTTTGTTTTCGATTTTTTTTGTTAGTGTTAATGTCACTCTGCCGACTCACAAAGAAAATTCAGTGTCCTGAAAACTCCCACTTCAAAATTGTTTAGAGATACCTCCCAACTAATACATTTAAAGATAACCTTAAACAAAAGACATCTCAAACCAATCAAACAACCAAAAAACAAAAACATAAACCCCGACAACAATATAGGTAGCTAGTGGTTTGGGTTCTATATCCAAAGAAGTCTGACAGCAAAGGCTGGATAACAATTGTCAGTGTTTCAATAAAGGGGATTTCAATTTAGATACTGGTTGGATCAGATAACAATTAGGGATTTTTTTTTCCTTTCTATATCAAAGCTACATCTGCTTCTGAGCAAATTCTGCCTATTTCTTTTAGTTTTATCTTTTGTGGCTAACCAGAATAAGTCTACTTTCACTTCCTTATGACAGCCCTTTAAATAGTTGAAAACAGTTCAAGACCAGAGACTGGAGATAGAGGAATTGGGTTCAAATATTGCCCTTTTTACTCTGTGGCCTTGGGCAATGCATTTAACCTTTCTAGTCTCAGTTCCCTCGTCTATAGAATGAAGGGGTTAGACTAGATGGTCTTTTAGGTGTCTTCTAGTCCTTTAGTCTTACTCAGGCTAAAACTGACCAATTCCATCAAGCAATCCTATTATGGCAGGGTCTTAAATCCCTTTCCTATCTAGGTTACCCTTCTCAGGAGATGCTCCAGCTAACCAATATCCTCTTAAAATGCTTAACCACAATCAAAATATTCCCTTAGTGCTATGACCAAGGCTGAGCATAATGGGACTATTTTCTTTCCAGTTCTTTACATTATGCTTCTTATAATGCAATCTAATATTGTGTTAGTTTAATCATTGTTTAGCAATAGCCATCCCTACTGGACACATGCAGCTGATTAGTTGAACCCATATACAGTGGTTTAAATATATCCTCTTTAAATTTCATTTGTATTACTTAATTTGATTCATTTTTTTGAGTATATCATGGTCTTTTAGGGAAATATTCTCTAACATTTTATGGTCTTCCTAGATTTGTGTCATTTAAAAATTTTATAATCATTTCATAGGTTAATTTATCCATATCACTTGTAAAAGTATTGGACACAAAAGCAAATACCTCAGGCACTCTTTTAAAGACTTCCCTTCTAGAGACTCAATAATGAGAGTTCTTTTATCTGGTCATTCAATCTGTTTCAAATTCACTTAATTGGTTGACCATCAAGCCCATAGCTCTCCATATTATGCAGAAGGAAAAACAGAGTTTTATTTCTAGGTCTCAACTCCACAGGACACAACCGAAATGACTGAACAACAACATTCAGAAAAGATAAATCTGGAAACCCAGATTTAATTTAATATACTAGCCTAGGATGAAGAATGGGAATGTGAACTTGACTGATACCTCTAACCCTTTCCCAGAAGAAAGAAGATGGCATGTAGGAGAGCTCAGTGTGGTGCACAAAGTTTCCGTGATAAAATGGGTCTATTATTCATCGTCCTTCTGGAAATTCTGTGGGACCCTAAGTCCTGCTCCTTCCTTAGACACTCCCCTTACTTTCCTCAATTCATGCTGTGCTTTTAACTTCCTCCAAATATCTAAGGGACTTGACAGAACGGATTTATGGGAGGACTTACTTCAGTTCCTTTAGGTGACAGTCTGGGTATCCCAGGGCCTCGCAGAGCAGAGTGACTCCATGATTCCCCAGGGCATTATCTGCCAGATTCAAATGGGTCACACTTCTGTTTCTCTTGAGAGCAGTGGAGAGATCCTGACAGCCAGAAACAGTGAGACCACAACTTCTTAACCTGTAGAGAAGAGAGACACACAAATTATTTCATCTTCATTGTTTTTTTTTTCTTGTCTCTCCCTAAGAAGTATCATATCCAATGTGGTTCAGGCTCATAGACAACTTCAGACTCATTTCTTTGTTCTTTTTTTCTTGCTTTTACACTGCCTCATTCAGCTAAGAATCTTTCCCCTAATTAATAACGATAATAATAACAACAACAATAACAACAATAGCCAGCATTTATAAAGTTCTTTAAGGTTTACAAAGGACTTTTACATATTTCATCTCCTTTGATCCTTACAATTTTGTGAAGTAGGTGCTATTATTATCCCTATTTTACAGAGAAGGAAACTGAGGCAGGGTGAAGTCAAGTGACTCGCCCAGGATTACATAGATAGTCAATGTCTAAGGCAAAATATAAACTCAGGTCTACCAAATCAGTCCACTGTTCTATCCACTTTGCCATCCTAGCTACTCTAGTTTCTTTTTTTTTTCTAGACAACCTTAGGCCCCAGACAAGTTTACTAAATAACTTTTCATTCATTCATACCATTTCTTTCAGGATCTGCCCTCACCTCCGTCCTCTGCTGATCTTCACAAAGTTGTGTGCCCACTTACCTCCAAGTTTGGTGTTAATAGTTGGCCTGGGACTGGTTCCTGTCCTTAGACAGGCTCTTACAGTCTATCAGCAATAGTTGTGTAAGATACTTCCTAGATGGGACCTAAGGTTGTTTATAGTTGGAGATGCTTTTGTTGCTGGTTCCTAGCAGGCTGCCTAGAGTGTTTGCCTTTTTGCTTTGCTTGGTTGGCCCCTATAGATTTCTAGGTTAGTGACTATTCCCAAGCCTCTGGATTAGGATCATAATCACTTGCCCAGGCTTTTCCCCCTGGTTGTTCTACAGGATTTTCCCCCTGGTTGCTCTACTTACTTTGTCACTAGTTTGCCTCAGCCTCCAAAGTCTGTGGCCCTAGGCTTTGAATTACTCTAAACCCAATGTTTACACTAATAGCTAGTACCTGAGTGTATTTTGATTTCCTAATACTGGCTTTTAACATTGCGTTGTCAGAACACATGTGCCCCCCCCACACACACACACTCTATAACTCTAATAAAATGGTTCTAATCCACAACTGTAGTCATATAGGGGCACCTAGGTAGTACAGTGCAATGGAGCACAATAGCCTAGAGTTAAGAAGACCTGAGTTTAAATCCAGCCACAGACACTTACTAGCTGTGTAACCCTGAGCAAGTCACTTAACCCTGCTTGCCTCAGTTTCCTCATCTGTACAATGGGCTAGAGAAGGAAATGGCAAACCACTCCAGCATTTATGCTAAGAAAACCCTAAATAGGTTCATGAAGAGTCGTACCTGACTGAAACAACTGAACAACAAAATTTGTCCACAGCACTGACCTCTCTGCTTCCCTCTCTTTGCTTTTTGTTGCTTCCTGAAACATCAGCATGATGAAGGTGTTTCTTTATTTCATAGAATCTTTCCAAATTATCTGCTGCCTCTCACGCCGTCTCCCCAACATACACACATATACACTAAAGTACTGGTGATAATATCAAAGTTAAATGTAAGAAAGGCCTTCATTTTACCTATTATTGTCCCCCAGATGGATACGCTGGCTTGATACCTTGATCTTTGAACCTTATACACCCATCTTCCAGTTAGCCACCCTCACCCTGTTTATGCTAATCTGTCTGTCCTAACCCACTCCATTCTAGTAAGTAAAAAAGGAACTTTATCCAACATATACTAGCTCAGAACATTGGCGCCCTCCCCAACAAAAAGAAAAATTTCTGTGGCTCCCTATTACCTTCTATGTTTAGACTGTTTACTCTATCCTTCAATAATGTAGCCCCAACCTACCTTTCCAAGCTTAACACATGCTTGTGCATGAAATATGCTCTTCCTGGTAAGCTGAGCTCCAGCTCCAGCTCATCTAAACAACTGTGAAATTGTTCCTACACATACTCAGTACATTCCCTAGACAAGTGCAGAGCTCTTCAACCTCTCTCTTTCTTGTTCACTCTGCTCCATTGTGTTGGTAATGCTCCCTTCTTCATCCTATTGACATCCTGCTCATCCTTCTGCATTTCCAAAGCAAATTCATCTGTCAATCTATTTGAATCAGCTTTTAGTAATCTCTCCCTAATTTGCTCTCCTAGTACTTATTATTTCTCATGCATTTGCATTAGCATTGCATTAGAATGTCATACATAATAATTTTTATATTTTCAATAGTGTACATGTCCTATCCTGCCTAGTCCTAAATCCATTGTAAATTCTTTGAGGGAAGGAATTATATATTATTTATCTTTGTTTTCACAGAGCATGTGACAATTTATTTATTAGATACAGTAGCATCATTGAATGAATAGAGCAAGTGAATGGAATAAATTCATGAGGACTTACATCAGTGAATTTATCCTACAACACTGGTTTCCCAAGGCCTCACATAGAAACTTTATCCCATCGTTACCAAGGCTATTACCACTCAGATCCAAATGGGTCAGACTTCGGTTGCTGATGAGAGCAAAGGAGAGATATTCACAAGAAACAGAGGTGAGATCACATTTCCACAACCTGTAAGAGACAGCCAAAAGGGTTCCATGATTTTATCTACATCTATGATTCATTCCTTTCCTATATCTATTGGAAAGGGATTTTCTCTTAGAGCCATTTTGTGTAGCATCAAACTGATGGTCTATCTCTTTTCACTCTAAACCTTAGAATCCCTCCCTTTAATGTTTACCATTTCCTCTCTCATGTTGAGATCCAGACAAAGCAAACTATTATTTTATGTTATAGTTGGCCACTATGTGATAAATGCTTTGATCATGGTGATGCATGAAACAGATAAAAAATATAAAATGGTTCTCAGTCCTATAGTATTCCTTTCTACTTTTAAAGGAATGGTGTCAGAGTGGTAGAAGAAAGAAGAGATGGTACCATGAATCACACAGTATTTTTTGCAAATGTTAATTTAACTTTTGTATACTAAATGGGGGATTATTTTTCAACATCTAAATAGTTATTACATAGTTTTCTTATTTGTAAAATGAGGGTGTTTGACTGGATGATTTTTGAGGTTCCTTACAGATCTAAATCTATGACCCTATAATACTATGATGGAAATAATCCCCTATTTTTTTTTCTTCAATTTGTTTGTTTGTTTTGAGCCTAAGTCTATGCTGGAAGCACAGCCACCATTCATAGCCTTGATTCCAATACTGACTGGTAAAGGAAGATTTAACCTGCTGTGTTTTTCTGACTGAAGTTGGTTTACCCTTTCTGAAGTAGCCTGGTGGCTCTCTACTCCCACAGGCTCACCATATAGGTGTCTGACTGAGTGTGGATACCCAATGGGTTTTAGCCCATACTGCAGCTCAGAACTCTAGCATCAGCCTCCCCAGCAGTGCAGACGCCAAGTTTGTAGTATCCTGCCTATTCTCATATTGATATTTTCATGAAGAGAGAAAACATAAAGAAGTTGCAGTTAAATGGAAAATAGCTGACAAGGGTGGCAAATAAAGGGTTTTGTTTTTTTTTTTACTGTGTTTTCATCATAGACCCAAAAGCATCAAGAAATAGCATTTCATGGATACTTGGCTATCCTTATAGTTTTCTTGATAAGCCTAAGGAAACAGCCTACCAAGAAAACAATTGCTGCCACCATCATCTGTTGAAGAGGATGAGAAAGGAAAGAAATTCTACAGATAATTTGAAAATATCCTCCAAATCCAGTTAGTTCTTAGATAACTCAACATATGTATTCCTAAAAATCACCATGTTATTGTTATGAGAATTTTTTATTTTCTTTTATTCCTCCTGCATTTTTTGGCTAATATTAACCTCACCTGAACAAACTCTGTCCCATGGGATGTGAAAATTTACTTAAGAGCCTTAAACATTATTAGATAAGAAGTCAGAGAAAGAATCTCAATTGTCCCTAACTCCTTGTTGACGTGTAGATCATCTTCTTTAACCATCTATTGTAAGTCCTCTAAATATAGTTTATTCTATGATCTGACTTAGTTTACCTATAGAGTTTATTTGATGAAGTTTATTTCCTTAGGGGATATATGAGATGATGACTCTTTTTAACTAAGCTTTTTCAATTTGTATGACATTGAATAAAGTATGCGATTATGGATCTGTCTTTCTCTCTAACTTTTAAGGTCTAAAGGGAATGTACAAGATTGTAATATGTAAATGAATTATTTCTCTGTCATTCTGATGTAATTTTGCCTATAAAGAGTCTTGTCAGAATCCTCATAATGGTTCAGGATTTCTCTGATCCCTGAACTTATGCTTGAGTATAACAATAAAACCTAGGTTTTAACTCCATAATTTCTGCATTGTGGTACATATATATTTGGCAGCAGTTACCTACCACATGAATTTAGAAAGGAGATATTTCTCTCATAAAACTATAAAAAAACAAACTTCAGGACATCAGGGGGAAATGGGGTTAGGAATATAACACTCAAAAATGTCATCAGTGATACACACACAAAAAATAAGAATCTAATAAAAATGGTAGCACAGTTTTATACATGTTAAGTGCTTAAGAAATATATAACTATTACAATAAGTATTAGTGGTATTAGCGGCCTCAGGCTTCTGCTCAGCTTGAACCCCTGTTACCATGGGACCCTATACTGGTAAAGTAGATGATCTCCATGGAGAGGGAGGAAGGTGGATACCAACTCTGGGAAGGAGGTGGAAAGGAAGAGAAGGGTTGCACTGTATCACTGCAGACTAGCCTTCCTCCACAGCTCCTATTACATCAGAAGATATACAATCAATTTGGTGCTTTACCTAGAAAAAAGACTTGTAATTTTCTTGTGAAAATAGATACAGGAAGGATTGCTATTTAAGAGTTATTGGGAAGTGATGCTATCCAACCTTACACGATAAAACATTTGGTTAACTAAGGTAGCCAGTAGAGTTTTGAGGTGTGTGTGTGTGGGTATGTGTGTGTGTTTTCATTTTTAATCAGTTCAGTTTGGTTTAAGTTTCTATTTCTCACTGAGGAAATCACATAAAAGTAATTCAACTTATATTCAAATTGTTCCCTAATGTATCAATTATGTTGGAACAAATTTATGCTTTCAAAATGTGTTATAGCAGAACTGTCTAAGTCAATGTAGATCTAGATATATTGTGACTTCAAGGCAATTTAGGATATAGAGAAGTATGATATATACATATACATATATATAGAAAAATACTATTTACAATTAAGAAAGATCACAAAAATGTATAGATTCCTAAAAAATCTTCTCCTAAAGAAAATAGGGGGTACTAGACATGGAAAGCATTAAGCAATATCACACAAAAATAAATTCACTAAATCTTAATAGATAAATTCAACAATTTAGCAGTATGAGACTCAATTCATCATCTGCTATCTGTGGTCAGGCTATCAACTGCTTAGAACAAAAACTTAGATCAGCATCAAATTAGAAGGAAGGATAAAATGAAAGAATATATAATGTGCAATTTTAACAGTTCTAACACAGCTCATTTAAACAGCATGTGAATTCTGGGCGGGCGAGAAATGTATAAAACTAAAGACATGGCAACATTTTAGACAGCAGTTCTTAAACTTTTCGGTCTCAGGACACTTTTATCCTCAAGTAGATTAAGAATTACTGATATTTACCACATTAGAAATTAAAACTGATAAATTTTAAAATATGCATTTATTAATTCACTTTAAAATAACAATAACAAAATCCATTATTCCAGTTAAAATTATTAAATTCCTACCATGTGCCAGGCACTGTGCTAAATACTAAGGATGCAAAGAAAGACAAAACCAGTCTGACTTTCAAGGAATTCACAGTCTAATATAATAAGAGAGACAAAATAAAAACAATTAATGACAAATGAGCTATCTATAGGATAAATCAGAAATAATCAACAGAGAGAATGTACTAGGTTGAGAAAGTTTCCTGCAAAAGGTTGAATATTAGCTAGGATTTTCAGGATGCCAGGAAGTGGAGATAAGGAAGGAGAGAATTCCAGGTATGGGGGATAAACAGTGAAAATAGTAATTTTTAATGAAAAATAACAGTATTTTCCAAAACAAAAAATAGTGAGATGATTGGCATTATTTTATGCTAAAAAAGAAACACTCCATGATATCTGATTTTATAGAAAACAGTTGAATTCTTATAAAAATAAAACCTTAGTATTTTTATGAAAAAATAGCTCTAACATCCTCCCCCCACCACCACCACACACATACCTTGAGACAGAGGGGAGAGAGAGGCAGGTGGGGAGAGAGAGATAGAGATCTATTTTCATCATGAATGTTAGTGACACCACATGTGGACCCTACCACTTTAGTACCTTATGTACTATATGTGTAAGGAAAAGGGAAAATATATATGTATGTGTGTATATATATATGTATATATATAATATATAGAGAGAGAGAGACAGACAGACAGACAAAGAGAAAGAGACAGACAGACAGACAGACAGACAGAGAGAGAAACTGAAGCCATAATGATTAGCTCTGCTTGATCAGATAAAAACAGTAGCATTTGTGTTGGAAGTGTCACAGTTTTAAAGGTACTAAGCAACAAAGATATTGATTACTGCAGCAGTTGATGCAGAAAACAGTGTCAGAGGCAACAAGAGACCTACTCAAAAGGGAGTCATCCTCAGAGAGGAAGCACCAGAAAGAGAAGAGCCCACTTGCTATTGATCATGCTATACTAATGAGTAGCCATCCAAGTGTCCCAATAAGGCTTGCATGTTAGCCTCTCAACCAAGTGTAATCATTTCATGATTTTTATTGCTTAATATTTCCTTCCAAGATAGGAACTAAACTGCTTGTTTATATTTATTCATGCTTATACACACACTCTCTCTCTCTCTCTCTCTCTCTCTCTCTCTCTCTCTTTCCTCTCTCTCTCTCTCTCTCTCTGTCTCTCTTTGTATGTATGCTTTTTAATCACCTTTTCTTCTCCCTATCCCTGTTCTTCCCACTTGGGGGTGGAGTAGGGAATAAAACTAAAGTCATAAATAGCATTGTTACTCAGTAATCTGAGGTGTGGAGGGGTAGAATGGGAGTTTTGGAAGCCTAATTTCCCTATTGAGGGGGCAGGCAACCTCTGAACAATGAATCCAGGGCAAGACACAAGGACAGGTAAAGGAGGTGAGGTACCTGTGAGGTAGGTGCTGTTATTATCCCCATTTTACAGATGAAGAAACTGAGGGAGGCAGTGGCTAAGTTACTTGCTGAGGGTCCCACAACTAGTGTGTATCTGAGGTTAAATTTTAACTCAGGTCTTACTAACCTCAGGCTCAGAGTTCTATCTAATTCCAACACACCAACCACACTCATACCAGGAGACTCTGGCTGGTGATACAAACAGAAAAGACTCTGCTTCTAAATGCCTTCCTCTGTTAAGGATGTTTCAAGTTCTCTAACCTACACTTTCCCCCCTAAACACAATCTCTTTCAGAGGAAATGGAAGGACTTCTACTGTAAGGTCATTGCCAGGACGGATCATGTTATTCTTTATACTTGTATCCCCAGAGTCTAATGCAATGTCTGACACATAATACTTGAGTGATTGATTGACTTACACCAAATTCTGAAGCTGACAGTATGGATGCTTCAAGGCCTCACACAACAACTTCATTCCATCATCCTTCAGGGCATTGGCTGCTAGGTCCAGATGCAAAAGGTTCTGGTTCTGAATGAGAGTTGATGATAGATCCTTACAACAAGTGTCTGTGAGATCGCACCAGAACATTCTTCAAGGAATATGTGCACCCAAAGAGAAAAGGTCCTCATTAGTCTCTAGTTCCCGTCTATTTTCTATTTGTCCAAAGGAAGAGAGGTTCATATACAAAGTGTGTGTGCATTAAACCACAGAATTAGCTTTATAACCCTGTTCCAGGTCAGCAGTCAGGGAGGAAGAAATGAAAGGAGAAAGGCAGGAGGGAAGAAAAGAAGAAAGAAAGTGTGCCAGGCACTATGCCAAGAGCTTTACAAATATCTCATTTGAACCTTGTAAGAATCTTGTGAGATAGTTGCCATTACTAATCTCATTTTACAATCGAGGGAACTCTTATCCCCTTTCCCGCCTACTTCCCTGTAAGGTAAGATAGATTTCTATACCCAAATGAGTATGTATTTTGAGCCAATTCCAAAGAGAGTAAGGTTCAGGTATTGTCTGCTACCCTCCCATCTTTCCCCCCACTTTAAAAGTTCTTTTGTGTCCCCTTTATGTGAAATAATTTGCCTCATTCTACATCTCCCTTCCCGCTTCTCCCAGTTCATCAATCTTTTTCACCTAATTTTACTTTTTCTTAGATATCATCTCATCATAGTAAACTCACATCCATGCCCTCTGTTTCTGTATTACTCCTTCTAACTTCCCTAATAATGAGAAAGTTCTTTGGAGTTACAAATATCATCTTTCCATGTAGGAATGTAAACAGTTTAACCTTATTGAATCCCTTATGATTTCTCTTTCCTATTTACCTTTTTATGCTTCTCTTAAATCTTGTATTTGAAAGTAAAATTTTCTATTCAGCTCTGGTCTTTTCATCAGAAATGCTTAAAAGTTCTCTATTTCATTAAATTTCCATTTTTTCTGAAAAATTATGTTTAGTTTCTCTAGGCAAGTGATTCTTGGTTGTAATCCTAGCTCCTTTGTATTCCAGAATATCACAATCTAACCCCTCTGATTGTTTAATGCAAAATCTCCTAAATCCCATGTAATCCTGACTGAGGCTCAATGATAATTGAATTGTTTCTTTCTGGCTGCTTGCAGTATTTTCTTGTTGACGTGGGAGCTCTGGAATTTGGCTATAGTATTCCTGGGAGTTGGGGCAGCTAAGTGGTGCAGTAAATAGAGCTCCGACCTTGGAGTCAGGAGGACCTGAGTTCAAATCTGGCCTCAGACACTTGACACTTACTAATTGTGTGACCCTGGGAAAGTCACTTAATGCTGATTGCCTCAAAATATATATATATATATATGTATGTATATATATATATATATTCCTCAGAGTTTTCACTTTAGGGTTTCTTTCAGGAGGTGATTAATGAATTCTTTCCATTTCTATTTTACCCACTGGCTTTAGGATATCAGGGCAGCTTTCCTTGATAATTTCTTGAAAGGTGATATTTAGGTTCTTCTTTTGATCATGACTTTCAGGTAACCCAATAATTCTTATATTATCTCTTTTGAATGTATTTTTCAGTCCAATTAGTTTTCCAATGAGATATTTCATGTTTTCTCCTATTTTTTCATTATTTTGATTTTGTTTTATCATTTCTTGATGTCTCATGGAATCATTAGCTTCCATTTACTCAGTTCTAATTTTTGAGGAATTATTTTCTTCAACGAGTTTTTGTAGCTCTTTTTCAATGTGGCTAATTCTGCTTTTTAAAGAGTTCTTTTGAGTGGATTTTTGTGCCTCCTTTACTAAGCTGTTGACTCTTCTTTTCATGATTTTCTTGCATCATTCTCATTTCTTTTCTCATTTTTTCCTCTACCTTCCTTATTTGATTTTTTAAAATCCTTTTAGAGCTCTCCTGGAAATTCTTTCTGGATCTGAGATCATTTCACACTTTTTTTGAGTCTTTGGATGTAACTGTTTTGACTTTGTGGTCTTCTTCTGAGTTTGGGTTTTAATCTTCCCTGTTACTATAGTAACTTTCCAAGGTCAGGTTCTCTTTTTGTTATTTGCTCATGTTTCCAGCATATTTCTTGATTTTTAACTTTATGCTAAAGTTGAACTCTGTTCCTGGGGTGGAGAGGGGACTGTCCCAAGGTTCAGGATTTCTGTGATGCTGTTTTCAGAGCTAGTTCTGTATCTTCTCAGTTCTTCCAAGTTAGTATGATCTAAAGAAAGGTGTGGTCATTGCTCTTTTGGCCTGTGGTCTGGTCTGTGAGTGACTACAAGCACTCTTTTCCACCCTGGAACTGTGACCAAGGTCCCTATTTTGCTGTGGCTGCATGCTCTAGTGTGCTAGTACTGTTCCTCACCCTGTGACTGGGGCACACAATTGCATATGGGTAATGCAACAGAGTTCTGCACCCAGTGTCAGAAAAGGGTCCCCTATAATCTCTTTCTAACAAGCTGACATCCTTACCATCTGTGGCTGAGAGCTCTGGAAGGTGCTACTGCCAACTCAGTCACCCCTAGGGCTAGCTTGCTAGCATGTGGCCTGCACTTGACTACTCTCAACTCTCACCCCAATGAGATAGACCATTCCTGTTGATCTTCTAAGTTGTCTTAGGCTAGAAAATTGTTTTGCCCTCTCTTTTTGTTGGTTGTGCCACTTTAGAATTGGTTTTGAGAAATTATGTTAGAGTTATTTGGAGGGGAATTTGGAAGAGTTCATGAAAGTCCTTGCCTTTATTCTGCCATCTTGGCTTCACCCCAGTACCACACAGTTTGTAAGTGGCAGAGCTATAGGTTGCAAATTCAGGTCATCTATCTCCAAATCCAGCATTCAAGGCAATCCACTGTGGCTGCCAACCTGTCTCTTAACATGTCTCTTACTATGTACATATATACATATAATTCTATATAAGCATTTTTCATATATGTTCATGTAAGTATATTGACATGTGTGTATATGTTGACATTAGTGAATTGGAGGACACTGGGGCTAAAATCAGGATAGTTTGTGCACAGGAATAGCCTATAAAGATATATTTAATAGTAGAATCCTCCCCTAATTATAAACTTACTCTACAGACCCAATGTAGAAAACTCATCCTTATTCCATTAATTCCCTTATATCACAGAATATCTCCTCTCACTCTACCTCCCTATAGTGCTCATCACTTCAAGAGAAATGTGTGTCTCCTCAGTTACAGGATAAACTCTGCACAAAGGTAAAAGTAGGAAATCATGATGGAGTAGAAAAAGAACTAAGTATAGAGTCAGAGGACGTGAGCTCTATTACTTACCATGTGGTGTAACCTTGGGAAAATTGCTTAATGTCTCTGGGCCTCAGTTTCCTTTGCTACTTTGTAGCTCTAAATCCTATAATTTATGATGGTATGAATTCTCAGTCAATAGGCATGGCTCTACGGAGTAAGGGTCAGGGCAACTTTTGTCAAATGCAGAGATACGCCCCACCATGTTCTGACCCTCTGATGATGTTGGGTTGAAAAACCAGAATTGTCCAGAGGGATGAACATTCTCCAGTGCATGGGGGACTGTCCACAAAGAACATATCTCAGAGACTCACCTTAGTTCCTGTAAGCTACAATCCTGGTTTCCTAAGGCCTTACACAGCAGCTTCATCCCATCATCTCCAAGAGAATTAACACTTAAATTCAGGTTTTCCAGGTGACGGTTGCTCTCAAGAGCATAAGAGAGATCCTGACAACAAGCAGCAGTGAGATGGCAATTATCCAACCTGTAAGAGACACATCAAAGATAAATGACCCCATTGTTGCCTTGGGTCCATTTCTTCCCTCCCTGTGCCTGGGGAGAAGATTGTTCCACTAAGCTCTTGGAATCACATAGAGGCTCCTCATCTGGTTTGTTCCTATGACAGAATAAATCATTGAATATTTCTTTAGAGATAAAATGGACCTGCTGATAGAAGATATAAAGGCTAGGAATGGAAATTTCTATTTTAAAATTTCCTGATACCTTTTATTTTTATGTCACCTGCTTTTCCCACTATATTCCTTCACCCTCCCATGCCCAGGGAGCAATCCCTAATAACAAAGAAAGGGGGAAAGTTCAGCAAAAACTAACCAACACATCAACAAAATCCAAAATAATATGTAGAGTTTCACACCTAGAAATATATTCCAACCTACACCTTTGCAAAGAAGAGAGAAAGGTTCATTCTCATATTGTTTCTTTTGGACTGAGCTTGGCCACTATAATTTCATAGCTTTCAGTTTAAATTATTTTGCTGTTCTTTCCTTTGTTGTTGTTCAGTTGTTTCAGTCATGTCTGAACATTGTTGAAGTCATATATATTTCTTTCCTGCTTCTGCTTACTAAACTATGTATCAATTAAAATGTCTTTTTATGTTTCTCTGGATTCATCATATTTGACATTTCTTCCAAAAATAGTAAAATATTGTCACACATGCGTATCACAGCTTCTGTAGTCTTTTCCCAATCTATGGCATCTATTTTATTTTCATTTCTTTGCTACTCCAAAAAATAATGCAGCTATGAATATTTTGGCACATATGAGACTTGTCTTTCTTATTGGCCTCATTGTAACAATGAGATCTCTAGATCAAATGTCATGAGCTTTTTTAGTCACTTTCTTAGCACAATTTTAATTTGCTGTCCAGAATGGTTAGATCAATTGACAATTCCACCAATAATGCAATAATATACTGATCTTTCTACAACCCCTCCGATATTGATAATTTCCATCTTTTGTCATTTTTGAAGGTTTTTTTTTTGCATGTTAGCTGAAACTTCAGATTTGTTTTGATTTGTACTTACTATTTGGAGCAATCTTTGATATGTTGTTAATAATCTATGATATGGCCTTTTAAAACTGGGTATGGAATATGGAATTGTTCTTGGTCCTATGCATTTGTGTTACTTTTCTATCCATCTTAGATATCAATCTTTATCAAAGATATTTAATAATATTTGACAATTAGAGCTGTATAAGAGTGGAAGAGGCTGCTTTGAGAGGTGATGAATTTCCTGTCCTTAAAGATTTGTAAGCAGAGGTGGAAGGACCACTTGTCTAGTCTGTTATAGTGGAGATTCCTTTTATGTTTGGGTTGTAGGTCAAAGGCTTAGTGGGATAATCTAATCCCCAGGGATAGGAAAGAAAGTTACAAGCCTGATTCATTGATCTGTCTTTTCTCTCTTTTATTGCTGTGTGCTTTTTGAGATATTAAAATTTCCTCAGGTACTATTTTGCTACATCTCAAAAAATTTTGGTGAATTATCTCATTGTCATTCTCTTTTATGAAATTATTGATTGTTTCTATGATTTGTTCTTTGACCTGCTCATTTTTTAGGATTAGATTATTTATTTTCCAATAATTTTTAATCTAAGGTTCCATAGCCCTTAATTGACAGTAATTTTTATTTCATTATGGTCAGAACACAATGTATTTAATATTTCTGCTTTTATGAGTTTGGTTGTGAGGTTTTTATGCACTAATACATGGTCAGTTTTTGTGTAGATGCCACAAATAGCTGAAAAAAAAGTATATTCCTTTCTATTCCCATTCAGTTTTCTTCAGAGGTTTATTACACCTAATGTTTTTAAGATTCTTTTCATCTCCTTAACTTCTTTCTTATTTATTCTATAGTTAAATTTATGTAGCTGTGAGAGGGGAAAGTTGAGGGCCCTTACCAGTACAGTTTTAATCTCTATTTCTTTCTATAATTCATTTAACTTTTACTTTAAGAATTTGATTGCTATACCATTTGGTGTATTTTTATTCAGTATTAATATTACTTTGTTGTCTATATTGCCTTTTAGCAAGATGTAATTTCCCTGAACATCTCTTTTAACTAGGTTAATTTTTGCTTTTGCTTCATATGAGATCATGATTGCTACTCCTGCCTTTTTTTTTACTTCAGCTGAAACATAATAGGTTTTGCTCCAGTCCCTTATTTTAACTCTCTCTGTGTGTGTGTCTCTATTTCAAGTGTATTTCTTATAAACAGTATGTTGCCAGATTCTGGTTTCTAATCCATTCTGTTATCTGTTTCATTTTGTGGGTGAATTCATCCCATTCACATTCACAGTTATGATTACTTACTGTACATTTTCTTCCATTCTATTTTCTTCTATATCCTTCTTTCTCTCTTTTTATCCTGTCCCTCTGCTAAAGTTTGTTTTGCTTCTGACCACTGCCCTCCCTTTTTCTCACTCCTCCTCTTATTTCTTTCCCCTTTTACTTCCCTGTTGGGTAAGATAGATTTCTATACCAAATTGAGTGTGTGTGTATATGTGTGTGTGTATGTATTTACCTCTTTGAACAAATTCTGATGAGAGTGAGATTCAAGCACTGTCAGTCCTCTTCCCCACCATTTTCTACTTCAGTGTAAAAACTCTTCCTTCCATGCCTCTTTTTTATGTAAGATAATTTTTCCCATTCTTCCTCTTCCTTCCTCCTTCTCCCAAGATATCTCTCTTTTTCACCCATCCATTTTTTAATGTCATCTCAACATAATCAACTTCCTCCTGTGCCCTCTATGTAGAACCCTTCTAACCGTTGTAATAATCATATGTTCTTAGAAATTAGATGTATTGTTTTCCCATATAGGAATGTAAAATGTTTAATCTTACTGAGTCCCTTATAATTTCTCTTTTAGGTTTACCTTTTTATGCTTCTTTTGAGTTTTGTATTTGAAAATACAATTATCTACTCAGTTCTGCTCTTTTCATCAGGGATGCTTGAAAGTCCTCTATTTCATTAAATATCTTTTTTTTTTCTTGAAGGATTATACTCAGCTTTTTGGTAGGTTATTGGTTGTAATCCTAGCTCTTTCGCCTTTCAGAATATCATCTTCCAAGTCCTTCACTCTTTTAACAAGGATGCTGCTAAATCATGCATGATCCTGACTGTTAATCTATGATATTTGAATGATTACTTTGAATGGTTATGTCAAGTATTTTCTCTTTGACCTGAGAGCTCTGGATTTTGGCTGTAATATTCCTGGGAGTTTTCATTTGGGGATCACTTCCAGGTGGTGATCAGAGAATTCTTTCAATTTCTATTTTCCCCTCTGGTTCTAGGATAACAGGGCATTTCTCTTTTATAATTTTTTGAAATGTGATATCTAAGCTCTTTCTTTGATCATGGCTTCCAGGTAGTCCAACAGTTCTTAAATTATCTCTCATCAGTCTATTTTCAGGTCAGCTGACCAAAGAGATTTTTGGAGGAGATTGTTCACATTTTTTTCTATTTTTTTTCATTCTTTTGATTTTGTTTTAGTGTTTCTTAATGTCTCATGGAGTCATTAGCTTCTGCTTGCCCAATTCCAATTTTTAAGGAATTATTTTCTTCAGTGAACTTTTGTACCACTTTTTCCATTTCCCCAATTCTGCTTTTTAAGGAGTTATTTTCATCAGTGAGGTTTAGTATTTTTTTTTAAAATTTGGCCAATTCTGTTTTTAAGGTATTCTTTTATTCAGCATGTTTGTGCATTAAAATAAATATAGTAATTGTGTTTTCATAATTTTCTTCCTTCACTCTCATTTCTTTACCTAATTTTCCCCCTTTACCACTTTTATTTGACTTTGAAAAACCTGTGGTTTTTCTGTTTTTGTTTGTTTGTTTATGTTTTTGTTTTTTGTTTTTTAGCTCTTCCAGGAATTTTCCTTGGGCTTGTTACAATTCACTTATTTTTTCTTTGAGGCTTAACTGGTAGCTGTCTTGACTTCCTTGTCTTCTGAGTTCGTGTTTTGATATTGTCTGTCACCATAGTAGCTTTTTATGATCAGGTTTTTTTTTTCTATTGTTGTTGTTTGCTCATTTTTTCAGCCTATTTCTTGACTTTGAACTTTATATTAAATTTGGGCTCTGTTCCCAGTGTGGAGGCAGACTTTTTCACACTATTGGTTTCAGAGTTCGCTCTGGCATTTCGGAAATTTTCAGTGTTTCCAAGGTTGTTTAATCTGGAGAAAGGCGTGGTCACTGCTTTCCTGGTTCTGAATTCCGTTCTTATCCAGGAAGGGCCTCTGATTCTTTGGGATTCCAATCAACATTGCTTCTTAGGGTCCCTGTTCTTCTGGGACCAGAACTATTCCTCTCCACTCTTGAACCTATATCCAGAAGTGAGTATAGGTAATGGAGCTGACAAACAGCATCCAGTACTGTATCCAGTCCTAAGACAGGGGTCTTGTAATCTCTTTCTGACTTGTCTCCCAGCCCCCCCTAACATCTCTGGATTAAGAGTTTCTAAAGCTGCTGCTGCTTCCATCACACTACTTAGTCCAATAATTCATGATGAATTCACATGAGCTTTGGGTTAGCCACCACCCTGTCACAGATCTTTCCTTCCAATCTCCTATGCTATGTTGGGAGGGAAGGATGTCTCACTCTCACCTTTTGTTGGCTCTATAACTCTAGAATTCCATGTAAGGCATTATACTAAAGTTGTTTGGAGGGGACTGTTGGGAGAGCTTGGCAAAGTGACTCCTCTATGCCACCATCTTGGCTCTAACACCAGAAGTGTCCCAATATTTTTTTCTTACAGTTTCATACTACCAAGCATTAGTTTCCATATCTTTAAAGTGATGGAGTAAGAATGGATAATCTCTAGGATCCTTTAATATTAATAATTAACATTTAATATTATATTATTCCTTTTCTACTCATTTTTCTAAATACCTCTCCTTTCCCTCCCTCCTTTGTTTAATTCTATTTTAATTTCCTCTTCTTTTTTTAATTTTTCAGCACCTGAACCTTAGTCCTTTACTTCAACTTCTCCAATTCCCAAAACAAATTTCTCCAGACAGGCAACTAACTAAAACTGACCTGAGTTTCTGCAGTGTGCAATCCGGATTTCTCAGTTCTGAACAAAGTATCATCATGGATGAATCTCCAAGGTGACTACTACTGAGATCCAGCTCTCTAAGATTCTGATTCCTGCTGACCACAGAAAATAGCTCTCTCCAGGTAAAAGCAGAAAGATGGCAATGCCTCAGCCTATGGGAGAAAGAATGGAGATATTGTACTGATGCTAAGGAAATCCTGTAGCTCACATGCACATAACCAGTTCATACAGCTTCCCAATATCACCAGTATAAAGTGGTATAACTGTCCCTACACACACATACACACACACACACACACACACAC